GAATGCAGCCACTCTTCTAAGCTTCCATTTTGCATGAACTCATAAACTATAGCCTTGAAATCAACCCCTTTAAAGTCTATGCTAGAACAAACAGTTAAGACCTTGAGCAAATTCCGATGACGAATGTTTCTCAAAGCTTCACACTCAGCCACAAAACTCTTGAAAGCTCCTTTTTGTTTAAGATTCAACACTTTCACTGCAATTTGCATTCCATGAGTGATTCCTTTATAGACAGAGCCAAAACTTCCTTCACCAATCAAGTTAGATGATGAGAAGTCATTAGTTGCTTGACCTAACTCTGCATAAGAAATCTTCGGAAATAGTTCTTGGGGTTGCAACAAGCTAGTGGCTTTCCTCTTGGACCTCCTTCTCCAAGCAAAAAGAACCAGTAATACTACTAATAAGATTGAGCAGGAAACAATTGGAATCACCATCTTTAGATTGTGAGATCTTTCATTCTTTTGACCATGTATCTTACATGGAGGGAGTCCGAGTTTCTTGATGCCTCCACAGAGGTTTTGATTTCCGGTAATTGAAAGTGCACTTGCATTTCTAAAGACCCCATCATATGGAACCTCTCCTTCAAATCTGTTGAAAGACAAATTCAAATTCTGTAGCAGAGTGAAATTTTGGAGATATTTTGGAATTTGACCAAACAAATTATTTCTTGAAAGGTCAAGGTAATAAAGACTCTTCAAAGCATTGAATGAGGATGGGATAACACCCACAAATAAGTTATCCTGCATACGAAGGTCTTCCATCATAAGACAAGTTCCCAAAGTACTTGGAATTTCTCCTGACAATCTGTTGTAGGATAGATCCAAAGCAATTAGATTGATCATATTTCCCAACTCTAGAGGCAGTGACCCAGATAAGAAGTTACTTGATAAGCCTAAGAATAACATCTTAGAACTCATAACTTCTTTTGGTATGGCACCAGAAATGTTGTTAAAAGACAGGTTGAGTTGTTCAAGATTTCTACAGTTTCCCAAACTAAGAGGTATTTCACCTTTCAAGTTATTTACATCCAAACGCAAATAAAGTAATTGGGTTAGGTTTCCAAGTGAGGAAGGAATTGTACCTGATAGTTGGTTTCTGTGCCAATCAAGTTTATTCAACCTTTCCAATTTGCCAATACTAGTTGGAATTTCAGCTGTGAGAAAGTTCTCACTGAAATCCAAATAAGTAAGGCCAATCAAGTTGCCAACTCCGTCAGGTACTCTACCCGAAATCTGATTGCTTGATACAGACAGCAGTTCAAACTTGCTTGAGAAATTAGCAATTGAAGTAGGCAATTGACCTTTCAAACGATTATTACCTATGTCCAGTGTGGAAAGAGTACTGCAATTGGTTAAAGAAGTTAAGAAATTGAAGTCGTCTCCCTCCAAATTTTCTAATTGATTTGCACCAATAGTCAACGTTTCCAGATCACTCAGTCTTCCAAGATTCTGGGGGACAGGTCCACTGAAATTGTTAATTTCAAATCCAATGTCTTTCAACTGTGAAGCATTCAATAATGAAACCGGAAGCCGCCCAGTAAACTGGTTTCCTCCAAAATAAATGTGCTGAAGTTTTGGAAGAGTCAACCCTATATCACTCGGGATTTCCCCTTGTAATTTGTTCCAACTCCATGCTACACTAAGAACAATGAGTGAGGAAAGATTGTAAATAGCTGGAGGAACAATACCAGATAAATTGTTTTGAGCAACAACGAACGATGACAGTGTTGAGAGTCTTCCAAGCTCATAGGGGATGCTTCCATGTAAGTTGTTTTGTCCTAAGTGCAAGCGAACAAGGGAAGAAGCATTTCCCAACCATTTTGGGATCGTTCCAGTCAAGTTATTTAAACCAAGAGAGAGAGTATTTAGCTTCTTCCTTGTCAAATTTTCAAGACCATCTGGGATTCTGCCTACAAGAGCATTCATGCTGATATTGAGGACTTCAAGACTTAAGCAGAAGGACATATTGCTTGGAATCTCCCCTCGGAAAGCATTCCCAGATAGAGTGAGAATTCTTAGTCGGAATAAACGACCAATTTCTTGTGGAATCTCGCCTTTGAACATGTTCTTTGCAAGGTTAATTTCCCGTAGAAAGGAGAGATTCCCTATTTGGGGAGGGATGGAACCAATCAACCTGTGCCCTGGTAAACTCAAGAGGGTTACTCTCCCTTTATGACGGCTGCTGCATGTAACTCCCATCCAATCACAGAAATGGATAGATTCATTCCATGATTTCATGACCCCCGAGGTATCCTGTGTTATTCTATGTTTGAAGGCCAACAAAGCAAGTTTGTCAGTTTCATTTATAGAAGACAGAATAGTTGCCAGATGAGTTTTGAAGAAAAGAAGTAGAAGCAATAAGGTGATTTTTGAGAACTGAAAATGGAAAGCCACCTTCATAATTTAGTAGATGGAGAGAAGGGCACAAGGCAGAGTTGCAAGCGAAGCAACTAGTTTTACAGCATTTATACTGGTTCATTTAGAAACAAGACG